ATTGAATCAGGTGGTGATCCAAATTTAGTTTCATCCACCTGACAATAATCTGGAGTTCAGACCCGAGTAATTACTGATTGTCTGGATACATGGCAGAAAATGCTGAGTTTAAAAACGACATTCCAAAACAGGAGTACAATCGGTTGCATGTTAAAAGGAGAGGGACAATGTGAAAGTTCTTAAAACGACAACTTTGTCAAGCCAGTGGTTGGAACAGAAGCCTGCAGAACCAGTGTGTCCTCCAGACACGATAGACCTCTGACCTGATGGTAACTCGAAGCCCCAGGGATCCTTGTTATGAGAGAGTCAGTTGTTCTTTGAAAGCAAAGAGCGAAGTTTACAATGAGAATGAGTGTAATAAGAAATGGAGGGTGCATAGTTAGAAAAATACAAAAACGCAGGAAGGCTAGTGGAAAAGCCTGTCTTTCTGAGTGGAACATTCATGGTGAAGCAGGAATGCCAGTCCCCAAATATGGCCTTTATGATTCCCAACAAAGTGGAGAAAAGTTTTAGGGATGAGGGCGGCAGGAGACTTCACTTGCTATTAGAAGTCTGTTGCAAAATAATCTTAAAGTGATAAATCACAACAGAATCATAAAAATGAACACCACCTGTGCACCCATTATATCTATAAATATATGTGCAAGGGCACGTCGTCAAAGCATTGCTACAAAATCATGGAAACAGTTATCAAACAAAACTATCAAATTGTAAAACGACAAATATTATAGGAAACACTTTTATACAACAGTCGAGAAACTTATCACATCAAAAGAAACAGACTTCGATGGCTGCCGGGAGAGGGAAGAAGGGGGAGAAGGGGCTAGAGCAGTGGTCCCCAATGTGGGTGGGACTGCCCCAGGGGCACTGGAACCATCCAGGACATTTGCAGAAGCAAATCTCACTCACTGCAAAGTAGCCGAAGCCAACTCCTGACGTGTAGAAGTGCCCCTCTGGGTCTCCGAGACTGTACCTCTTCACAGGAGTAGAAATCCCCAGGAGTTGCTAGGAGTTTCGAATGCTAATCCTGCAGGTACAGCAGCCCAACCCATAACCCACTACACCACCAGGGAGGGCATCCGAAAAAACAGAAAACTCCACAAATCCCAAGGAGCCCTGGTGGCGGAAATGGTTATCCACGGGGCTGCCAACTACAAGGTCAGCAGTTCGAAAGCACTAGCCACTCTGTGGGAGAAAGATAAGGCTTTCGGATTCCACGAAGAGCTAGTCTCAGAAACCTGCAGGGGCAGTCCTACCTACCCGGTCCTCCAGGGTCGCTCTATGTTGGAATCAATTCAGTCGCTCTCAGTTTAGTTTTTGAGTCAATACACTGACAAGTAGTTCCTATGACAGAGAAAACAGCAGCTGAATTCTAAAATGTCTTTAAGCTTATTAATTTTCATTTTTATTCTCACAGGCTATTATATATTGCTTCTGTCATAATAACAGATATTATGAGTACTAATGTTCAGGATTTTAAGACCAACAACTGGAAAAGACATTTGACCATCATTTAGAACGCTATAAATGACACGGCCGACCAAGTTATCTTTATGAATTGCCTTGTTAATAACACCACTTATGCAGACATTTCTTTCCAATGAAGATAAAAATAGCATACCCTTGCATATTCAAATAACGATTAAAGCTAGTCCACAGAGATATTGAAATTGAGAAAGTTCCAGGCATTTTACAGAAGGAAAACGCTTTAACAGCTGCTAATTTGGACGAGTTCTAGTTCTTAGTAAATGTGACCTACAAATGAGGGGCTTCAAGAGCTTTGTAGACAAATTCTACTATCTTTTAGTTCCATTTTTCTAAAGAGTTTTTGAAACCCCTTCCATATTTTTAGACACACAACCACCCCAAATCTCACAATTGTCAACCATAATAGTGTCAGTTCCACTCTCACACAGTTTACAAGGAAACATGGTTGATGTCTGAGGCCAGATAGTAGGGTCAGTGGGGAAGCAGGCCCACAGTCCGGGAGGCCCCGAGGTCAGTTGGCCTACCAGCATTCACATAGATAACAGCCTACATCCTACTTTGGTTGAGTAGTGACTGGAGTCTTAAAAGTTCAGGTGCCACCACCGCAGATGCAACTATTGGTCTCTCCCTGTCCTTCAGAGAAACGAGAGCTGAAAGTTAGATGACATATGGAAACATTCAGTCCATATGTCAAGCAAACATCAGTTTCCACATCCCCCGAAACAAGAAGAACTAGATGGTGTACAGATTACCACTACCAGTTACTCTGAAAAGGATCCTATTGGAAGGTGCTGGGCAGAGTGGGAGAAAAATGTGGGGCAAAACTCAAAATCCTCAGACCAGGCTTACTGGTTGGACAGAGAGACTGGTGCAACCCCGAAGACTTTGACCCCTAGTCACCCTTCAGGCCTTAACCTGGGTTGCAATAATCAACTTTTTAAGATCCAAAGGGCAGTATTATCCAAGGACAGAGTTCAGAGGGTTAGGAAAGAAGGAAATGGAAACAAGAAACAGAGCACAGAGTGGAAGTGGGGTAAGTGATGCTTCATCGAGGGGATGTCAACAGATGAACTGAAGGTAAAAGTGGTGATCTGCTCTGTAAACTTAACCTAACTCACAATAACACGTTTAAAAATAAATAAATATGGCCTAGGGCAAGCAAGGAACCAAAAGGAGAGAAGTAGGCTTCCAGGCCAAGGAGAATGCCTGACCACCAGGGGCTGCTCCGCTCTCTGCTGTTGCCTTCAAGGAATACAGGCAAACAACAACCATAAAACGAAGCATCTTGCTAGCCTAACAGAGTAAGTCTACTAAGTGGGCTGGATTTGGTACATGGCTAGAAGGTTCTACCTCTGCTATGTAGAGTGGCTAAGAATTCTGTGAGTCACAGAAAACTAGAGGTAAGAAATCAGCTCCGAGTCTAACGCACTGCAAACACTTGTGCGTGGGCCAGCTTCCTCCTCAGCACCTCACTATGTCTTTTAAAAATTATGTATGTACTCAAAAAAGTTAGCTCATTATCATTAGATGCTTAAAGGTACCAATTTTAAAAAGGGGGGCTGAGAAGGACCAATAGAAAAGGCAACAAAAATAGCAATTCAAAACTTCCCTTCCATCTGGTAGGAGTCCTGGTGGGATAGTGGTAGCTCGATGGGCTGCTAACTGCAAGGTGGGCAGTTCAAAACTACCACCTGCTCTGTGGTAGAAAGATGAGGCTTTCTACTCCTGTAAGGCGTTACAGTCTCGGAAACCCATAGGGCAGTCCTACTCTGTCCTATAGGGGTCACTGTAAATCAGAATCAGCGATAGTTTGTTAGTTTGTTCCCCATCTGGCACGGGCTTTCCTCAAACTCCGGCTGCCTAGTCCCATTCTCTTTTCCACACACAAGCTACTTCACCAGCACCGCCTCCCCCCCCAACACACACACCCCCGGACTGTACCTTTCCCTTTTCAGAACCTACAGGTCAAGGTACGGTACTCACCACCACCACCACCCCATTGTGCACTTTTACAAGGGCAGGGGCAAAAGGGCCTTTTTTACTGTTAACCCCCAGGAAATATCCCTAACATCCCATTCTGTCTGAATTGTTTTCCCTCCTAAATGTGTGAGCACTGCGGACTTGTGAAATCACCAGGGCCCCAACAGAGGCGTCTCCGGTGTTCTCACTGAACAAAGCTTTCATTTACCCTTCTTTCCCCATAGTGGACAAAGAATGACAGGTAACCAAACAGCCAAAATGTCAAAACACACTAACAATCAACTCCTTTCTAACCAGATTTGAAAACTTAATTTTGTTCTTCTCCTTGAAAGGAAATGAGTTAACCACCACCTGTTTTTTTTCTTGCACTCTTCCTAATGTGGGTGTCCAAAACAAGTAACTTTCGTCAAAAAATGATATGCTTTTCAAAAGGCTTAAGTTTTATTGACTTCCACTCATTTGAACAAACAGCATATTCTCTTTCTCTAACAATCTATATCTTGACTCCTTGGAAACTCCGGAATCAAAAGAAAGGTTTGATGCCTCTCTTCCGGAAAATGTAGACTTTTCTTTACAATTTCAGCAGGAGCCCAAGATTCAGAATAGCCAGTACCTGATGAGAACGCAACCACTTTTTAATTGGAAAAAATTTAAAAGTCTTCCTTATAAGATCTTCAGCTCTGAGATTAACAGGGAAACCACTTCCCTTTACATCTGTCACCACTTGCTAGCAGCCATCCTGAGAGCTGACAGAAAGTTGAGAGTCTCTTACCTCTGAGAAATTAACAGCCAAGGGAATGATTCCAGCCACGTAACATCCCACCAACATAGCGAGAGACAGCAAGCTAATGGAGACAAAATCATCCATCTTGCCCTCCTTATTCTCACCACCACCAGACTGTAACTTTCTAGTGAGTTTAAAGGTGCTTGGGTTCTTAAACACGCGTGGTGATTCCACGGAAGAGAAGGGCTTTTCAGTACTTTCGGATTCCTTCCCAGCAGATCTGTTCACGAGGCAGCGCCGTCAACAAGCCCCTTGGCTATTCCTAGCACCAAAGAAAACTTGCAGCAATCTTAGGTCTCCGCGTCGGTGTCCCCTGATGATGCCAGTCACCGGGTTGCCGTGGATTATCAGAGACGGGAAAAGTCAATGGGGTAAATATGCGAACCAGCTTTCTCTTCGATCGTCGTAATGAGAGTGGGACGGCGGGCCCACTCCCTGACACACACACACACACACACACAACGTCCCAGGTAGCAGCAGGAAGGGGAGGAAAACCACGCGAACCTGTTCCTTCCCGGGCGCCCCGGTCCCCCAGGGGGTCGCCCGACGGTGATCCCCACTCCCCCAGCGCTGGGACCTGCCCCACTAGTCCCGGCAAAGTCGGCTCCGAGTCTTGGATGGGGAAAAGAGTCCCGCGGGTCTCTAACGATGGATTCTAGGGGTTCAGCAGCGAAGGTGATGCAACGCTGTCTCTGCCCTATATCCGCTGCTGCCCGCGGCACACCGCTCCTCCGGGCCTGGACCCGGAGGTACCGACACTACAGCTGCCATGGCCGCCAAGTGGCAACTCTTCACTACACCCACTTCCGGATTGTTTCCCGTCCCCGCCTCTAAAAAGGTACTTCCGGGTTACAACCGCCCTATGGCCCGAGGGCCTCAGGCTCCCGCCATTTTTGAGTCGGGCCTGTGAGAAAGGGCCTGTGTCTCGGTCCATACCGGCGGCCAAGCCCCCAGAATGTCCAACTTTGAGATTACGGAAAGTCGCGTCTTGGCAAATACGATCCTTTCTCAAGCGCCGAAACCTCCCGAGACGCCTTTCCTGCCCTTATCCAAGATGGCCGGAACAGAGTCCGTGTCCGCTCTAGCTGCCGGAAGTGCGCGCCCGGCGCCTCTATGATCCAAAGAGCACTTTCCCGTTACGACGTCGACGAGTTCCGGTGGCCTCTCTCGCGGGGATTGGCTGTTGGCGGCGTTGCGGCCGAGCTCGTGTGCAGCGGGGATCTCGGCAGCGGCTGCGACGAAAGAGTTCGCCACGATGGTGAGAAAGGCCTTCTCGGCCCCCCGAGCCCCGGCCTCCCTCCGCCCCGTACGTCTGTCTGCCTTTCCACCGACAGCCCCCGGGGCCGTGCGGGCGTGCTGCGGGCCGATCCCTGCTTCCCGCCACCGAGCCCGGGCCTGCCTCGGCCCGCGTCCTGGGCCCGCCCTCGCTTTTGCGCGCCGGATCTCGGCCCGGGCGCAGCGTGGCGCTCGGTGCCTGAGGCGGCGCCCTCTCCGGCCGGTGCCGGGCGGAGGCGCGCGGGGCGGCGCGGCGAGGAGCCCGTTCCCTCCGAGCGCCCTGCCGGGCTGGGGGAACAATAGCCCGGGTGGTCTACCAGCCTGCTCGGAAGTGGGGGCCGGCGGGTGCTGTTGGCTCCGCGATGCGTGTCCTCAGCTTTCCGCCCCGTGCCTTTAGTTCCGGCCACATCTCGTGTCCCTCGGTTTCGCTAAATTGCCGTTTCCCCCTGTTATTAACCCCGCTCAAGTTTTGTTGGGATTGAAGCGTGAAAAGTGAGGCCGTTCCGCTGAAGTCCTCTAGACTCTGGCTGAGGTGGGAGTGGAGTTGTTCTCAAAGGGAGACGCCATCAGGGGTTGCGTGAAACCAGGCTTGCTTACATATCGGCTTCTGGTCGCTGGCGTTATTGATAATGAACTCTGCCAAATTGTATTTATGATCGGGGTTTTTACAGTGTTTGATCCAACCTAAAAGCAAACCAAACTTCTGTTGTCCGGTTGATTCCGACTCCTAACAAAGCTCTAGAAGAGTCGAACTGCCGCGTGGGGTTTCTAGGGCCCCATCTTTCTCTTCCGGCCGAGTTTTAACCACTGAACCCCAAGGGCTTCTTTGACACGGCTTCAAACAAACCGAAAACTCAAACTCGAAGCCTTGGACTCCATCCTGAGTCATAGTGATCTAGTGGACAGATGGGAACGTTGCTGCGGGTTTCTGAAACTCATCGAAGGGAGGAGAGGACAGCCGCACCGGAGTGGCTGGTGGTTTTGAACAGCTCAGCCCAGGGCATGCCCCCAGTGTGCCATCGGGGCTCTTACACGCAATCGAGTCTTCCCCCCAAATGGTTTCTTGGCTCATGACTCTGGGAATATCATTTTACCCCCATGCGTGCCCTTTTTACTGCTGTCTGCCATTTCTTTGACATTATGTTAAAATGCAGAAATTAAAGTAAGCAGAAATGTATCAGAGCGAATCACAACTGCTTGATAATCTTTCAGAATTGATAATTTAATTAAGGAATTATGCATAACTTTCTCCTCGTGATTTGGGGTTTCACCACCATTTTTTTCCTATTGTAAAATGGAGGGGGGGGTGCCTTTTTAAATCATTATTTTGTATTGGTCATTCCCCCATGAAAGACAACCATAAGAAATGTGAGGACACAATCGTTTGGGGACACAAACCAATATTTCTTAAAATGAAAGGGTTCTGAAAAAACAGACAGTAACTACGCCATGTTTGGCAGATGGTGTGATCGTTAACTAAATCTAGTAGGGCAGCATTGCCTTCTTAAGATTGTTGGGGGTCTTCCTCAGCCAAGGAGCCATTGAAAGATTTTTGGAGAAAGGTAAGTTACAAAAAATGTTTTGTTTAGCAAATAACCAAGTGGAATATGAGTTGAAATCCACTCAGATGGCAGATTTGGTTTTTGTATAGAGGTCTGTATAGATGAGGGAGGAGGTCACATACTCTTGTCATCGAGTTCTAATTTGGTCTCAAATCTCAAACTCTCTTATCAGAAGAAAGTCGAAATGGGGAAGGGAGGAATATAATAATCCTTTGCTCATTATGTTATCTTCAAAGTACTAGTTTCCAGTTGCTTATTCAGAATATCTAGGCATCAGCTGTTTTAGCTCCCATTTGTTTCTCATTGAAAATTCTGATCATTTCAAAATAATTTGGACATCCTATCATTATAAACACATTGGAGAGAGAGGGTAGGGTGTTTGGGTTCTTTTGGTCCCAAAGCACTGGTACAGCAGAAGAAGAGGATGTTTTATTTGGTTTAGAATTGGGATTACAACAGAGTTGCATCTATTTGAATTTAATTATTCAGCCTTACACTCTTGGCAAAAATTGTGTAGGGAAACATTTTGGTAGGCAAAATGATTCTCAGCCAGGTGCAATTTTGGCCATCCCTGGGCCTTCGGAAATCCTGCATGGCATCTAGTCAGTAAAGGCCGTGGACACTCCTATAGTTCCTACAGTGCACAAGACAGGCCCACAGGAAAACACTCAGCCAAGAATGTGCTGTTTGCTTTTTAAAAAGCAGTGTAGGGGAATCCTAAGCAATTATAGGTAGTAGCTGCAATAGGATTTCTTGAAAGGAGCAGTCACCAAGGACTGAGGGCCTAAGAAAACCTTAGGACAGTGGTTCTCAACCTTCCTAATGCCGCGACCCTTTCATACAGTTCCTCATATTGTGGTAGACTCCCCAACCATAAAATCCGTTTGGTTGCTACTTCCTAACTGTAATTTTGATACTGTTATGAATTGGGCTACCCCTGTGAAAGGGTCAGTCTCAACCCACAAGTTGAAAAAGTATTGTTCCTGTAATTAAATTTAAGATCTTCCCCTGCCCCCCGGAAAAAGCCAACAGTCATTAGTGTCATGAATGGAGATTTTGTACTAGTAGTTTTACGAATCTGAGCTAGAAACTTACATTGAAACCTTGTTTTCCCCAGTCTCACACCATTTTGCTAGTCCAGCCTACCAAGAGGCCAGAAGGTAGAACTTACGCCGACTACGAATCTGTGAATGAGTGCATGGAAGGTGAGTAAAAGACTAACCTAGGGGCAGAAACCTCAGTTCCTGTTTCTCCTGACCTTCACTATTCAAGACTCATGTAGGTACTGAACTGGGTTTCTTTTTTCCTCCAGATCTTATTAATTGTTCATTGGAGCAGATAAAGATGACTATGTAAAACTATATTGCTTAGTACTTGGATTGTAATTGTACATACTGCCTTCCTGCAAGTGTTACTTTACTCTTACATCAAGTTTATATGTATATATAATTTCAAAAGCATCACATGACTTTATATATTCTGTAAATATTTCACAGATGTCCTTTTTACATTATTGTTAAGCCCAAACACTGTGGAGTTGTTAAGGCAGGCTCTGGATTGTCTTCTGAACCTATTAGCCTGCTTCTTGGACAAATGTTAAAAGCTGTTGAGGTTTGTTTCTAGTCTATCAGGGTGTTATTAGGAAATTAAAAACCTAGGGGAAAAGGCAAATGGAACCAAGTGACTAATTTTTTATCCATTTGGTGAAGTAATAATCACCCGGAAGGTGATTAGCTATGTAGTTTGTTCATTTTCCTCAAATTAAACCATTGAGAAAAGAGCACAGACATTGGGTCATCACAAACAGGGTTCCTCTTTCGTGTCTCAGGGTGACGTCATTTATACCAGTTGTACACCACTCGTACCCTTGTAACACGTTGTTCATTCTTTGCTTTTCCTTCTAATTTTTAAACCATTTTAATGGCACATAATCCACAGAGCATACAATTCAGTAGTTCAATCATGTTGAGCAGAATTGTACAATCATTACCACATTCAGTTGTAGAACATTTTCTTTTTTCCCCCTCCCATGATCAAATCACTTTTAAAACAAGCTGTCCAGGAGGGTAGGAGGAAGGTTGGTGGGCGGGCAGGGCAGGGGGAACTGATCACAATGATTGACCAATAACCACCACCACCACCCCAGAGGGATGAACAACAGACATGTGGGTGAAGGGAGGCAGTGATAAATAATTTGTAATTTATCAGGGTCACGAAGGAGGGAAACGAGAAGAGCTGATACAAAGGGCTCAAATAGAAAGTTAATGTTTAGACGATGATGGCAGCATGTGTACAAATATGCTTGATACAATTGATGTATGGATTATTATAAGAGCCCCCAAGAAAATGATTTTTAAATTTTTAGAAAGGTAAAATTGGTTGTGTGATCACAATCCTTTCTAGTGCTCCCTCTGCTTCCGAAATCCCCTCACCCTGTCTCCTACCCACCGCATCCCCTGTAAACTCTTGCATCAATTATATCTGCTTCTACTCCTTCTGTGCTTCATAAACTGAAAGCCTGGCCGAAGCAATAAAGAACAAAAAGTGGTGAGGATAAAATAATGAGTAAGAAAACTCTAGTTTTTTGTCTGCTTTGTTCTGCGGTGTATATATCTGCAAATAGCATCACTTTACACTTCTTTGTGTGCAAACCTTGGAATCCTTTCAGGCATTATATGCAAATGTGCTGTGTTCAGCAACTTTCAGTAACTGGGTTAGACTTGTGAAGTCTGTTTAAAAGCTGACGATGTATACACCAGAAGGAAACAATTTAGCGATCTGAGATAGTTGCCAGTGAACTTGCAAAAGTTCATCCTTTGCTGGTGCCCTTGTCATTAAAGCTGGCTTGGTATGTGCAGTGTATTGGAAGCTCAACAATGATTTAT